AGGCCCTGAGGGGGGATGCTAAGCAGAGGACCACCGTGCGATGCCAAAGTGCGCTCGATGGGCGCAGGGCTGGCTGGGGGAATGGCAGGGCTTCTCTTCTTATTCTGAAGACGGGCCCCCTGGCCCAGCTCTGACAAAGCGGGGAGCTGGCATTTTCTGAGGGGCGCCTGCAGCCTCAGGAGTCTGTGTGGCTGCGAGACCCGCCGGGTCGCCTCTTTCTCCCCCTTTTCCTTTGCCGGCTGGATGCTGAGGAACTCGGTGGGGTCCAGGGACACGCGCTCCTCAGCCCCCGCGCGGGGGAGGGTTGGGAGGGACCAGAGAGGGACCAGAGCAGGACACCCCCCGCTCCCTCCTCCCCGCCTGGGCGAGCCGGCTGCGGGCTCCCCACGGAGCTCAGCTTTGCCGCGGCGGCGGGGCCGCCTCCTCCATCCCACGCAGCCGCCCCCCAAAGCGGTGGGGGCGCCGGGCCTAGCATCGCATCGCATCGCATCGCATCGCCGCGCGGGGTAAGGAGCGCCGCGTGGGGCAGCGGAGATGCCCCGATGGGGGTTTCTCCCATGTCTCTATCGCTTTTGCGGTCGGTTCAGGCCCCAGCTGGGTTTAGCCTCCTTCTCTCTCCCTTGCAGGCATGGGGGAAGCTGGGTTTGACCCGACCCCCGTGTTGATAAGCTGCCAGGAGCCTTCTCTGCCATGGGAGACCCCCTCCTCCCCCTGCCCTGCACACTGGCCCCCCAGAAGGGTGGGGAAGCCAGGAACAGGCTGCCCCGAGGGGTAGTGGACTCTCCATCCTTGGAGGCTTTCAATTATCTAGTTGATTTAGTTGGGGCTGGTTTGAGCGGGGGGTAGGATGAGATGTGATCTCCTGAGGTCCCTCCCAACCCTCATTTTGTATGACTGGATGCAATCACCCCCAGAATAGCCTTGCCCCCCTGTCCCCCCCCCGAACGCATGGACCGCTACGGCTCCAGCATCCCGCTAACCCTCCTTCCAGTCGCTTGGCCTTCTCAACCTTGGAAGCTTTAACTTGCCACATCCTGATGTTATATATACTTCTTTGAACTTCCCACCCTTTTTTTGGCCTCTTGCAGCTAAGCTTTCAGCCCAAGGCCTCCCGTTTCTTTTTTTTTTTTTTTCCTGTTTTAAACGTGTATTTCTCCCATGATGCAGGTCGGTAAAAGATGTTGACGATGTTTGCCCGCCCGCCCTGCGAACAGGCAGGTTAGTCCCTTGGCTTGGTGTTGGAAGGAACTAAGAAAAATGAATCTCAGCTTGTAATCTATGCTTGCATGTATACAGAGGGGTATTGAACCTAGTGACGCTTACATCTCAGAGGCATGAAGACATTTTGTCACGGCACCAACTCTCCTTTGCAGAAAGTGATTCCTTTCATCTAGCGTCAGCTGCAGGAAGCAGAAGAAAGTGGTCTTTCCAATGTCTTCATGTGTGGTCCATTATATTTAATTTAATTGGCCTCAACAGGCGCCTGTATTTATTTTATCACTTGCTCTGGAAAGTTGGTGTTTTAGTAATAAAGTATAACTAGCCTTTGATATTTTATCAACACCTTTTAAAATGTTGCTGCTGGCTTGGTGCCTAAAATCCACATTAGCTAAACTGAGTCACTTACATTCATGTGGAAGCCAACAGGGCAAATTCATTCCTGGTTCAGCTCTGCTGACTTTAGTGAGTTGGATGAATATTGCTGTCGGTGTTCCCTGAAACTGAAATGTACTGAGTTGATTGTGTGTAGCTGAAACTAGAGTATAGTCTTATACTTCTGTTCCATCAACAGGAAGTTTTACAGCTTTGCACAACCCAAGTACTATGTAATTATAATATTTAACTTTGTGGAATCTAAGGTGTACCTCTAATAAACAGGCGAGTATCCTGGCCCAGATTTTCAAATTATGCTCTGATTACATTGTTTTGTCTGGCAGTGACACTGGATTATGAGAGAAATGCCACACGTCATGCTTTTTCATATAATATTTTTCCTATTGAAAAGATTTCTGACACATGAAGTCACTTTAGATGGGGTCACATTCTGGTAGCACCAAAGTGAGTGGGAGTTTTACCATTGACTTCAATGAGAATAGGAGCTAGTCTGTAGAAATATGTGATTCCTTGAAATATATATATTTGGGTACATTGCTTTGTGCTGAAAAAGATGTAGCAAAAAAGCAATAGTGCAACAATCATTGTACTGTATTAATAGTATATTGCTTTGCTCTTCAGTGTGACTGTACATTTTCAAGGGCTCTGTCCAAATATTAATTTGTCTTGAGGTTTTACTCTTTAGTAACTTATTTTTTTCAAGTTGCAGAAATCAATGTTTTGATCTATGAATGAAATATATACATTGGGCAATGATACTTTCCTCTCACCCAGTCCTCAATGATATGCTATTTTATGATCATGTAAAGTTTAAATGTAAATGTAAATGTAAATGTGCCATATGTAGAAAAAGAAAGGGTTTGTTTGGGGGCTGTCTTGTTTTTACAAAAGCAGAAGTTTTATCCATGTTTTATCCATTCTCACATGGATTGGTTCTTTAGGGTTTATTTGTGTATATTGATAAGTCTCATTGATGGCTCCTCTGCGCACATTTTCTCTGGGTAAATTTCCAATATAATATTTCTGATATAAAAATAGTATTTCATCTTATCATTCACATATTTTCCATATAATGCTCCTTTTAACAATTTTAAAATGACCCAGCAGAGTAAAGCAAATTCAGCCTAACCATAAACATATTTGGTGACAACTTAATGATTTTCAAACAGGAACCACATTATAATACATGCTAATAAAAATTAACTTTGTATTAAATAAGGATGCAACCCTTAACATACAGGTATACTAAGAATGCTGCTTTTAGGAAACTTCAGAACTTAACTAAGTACACACTACATTGTGCACATTATTCTCAGTTTATTAGGTCTTAAATTGTGGCAGACTTGTACCAAAGTGATTCAGGATAGATCATAAAGAGTGTTCCTTATCATTTGCATGCATTGTACCAGGGCTTATAATGCCTCTATTTATGGGACTGCTCCCTGTGTTCACCACAGGAGTGCAAAGTGCACCTAAGGGGACAGAGACGAGATAGATAGGTGTGTGGTCCTGGGCATGCTTCACATTGGCTTATGGCAGTAGATGGTAGGGCGCCATCTCCACTGAAGACTGGAAGTAGCAGCATCAGTCTCAAAATGGTTGGGCCTATGTGGCATAATTGGGTGCATCTACACATGCAGTTGGCATGTAGCAATAAACTCCGGTACAGTTTGCACTGGAATTTATTGCTCCTTAGTGTAGCATTTACATGTGCGCCCAGGACTGGGGGTCAGCCTCCCAGTCCAGGGCTGCTCTGCCCTGGCTCAAAATGCTGTGGAGGGGCTGGCTGGTGCATGAAGGTACTCCAATGTGGGGCTAGGTTAGCCAGCAGTGCCCCAGCCAGCCCTGTCACCGTCTACACATGCGTTTCACTGGATGTAACTGCTCCTCTGTAGGATAGTACTTGTCCCAGACAGTACTATCCTAGAGCAGTTAATTAATTGATTGCACCCTAATAGGGGCACATGTGTAGATAGTGATGCGTTACTACGGAACTAATTAGTCAGCTCCACAGTAAAGCACATGTGTAGATGCAGTCACTGAGTCCTAAATAAGTTCTAATAGGTGAGTCACTTCCAGGCATAATATATACATGGAAAATCATATAATTATTTAGGAATTTGCAAGGCAATAATAACTCATTTTCTGCTTTCCTTAGGTGTAAAGACCACAACCTATGATTAGGATGAATAGTTCTGTTTTGTTTTTTTAAAGCAATGACTACTTGGGCATTCTCAGAACTGCAGCTGCAGGTACCTAGAGAACTCTAAGGCTAAACACAGAAGTGCTTAGTAAGTTTAGATACCTCCAGAGTTACGTGACAGCTGAGCAGGATTTTTTTTTTTTGTATTACAGAAGATAGGCATCCAAGTTATGCTTTAGGCACCTAGGTACTTTTGCTGAGACATGGCTTGATATCTTATTAGCATTATTAAAAAGAAAAATAATGGGAGACTCTAATAAAGAGATAGTAGGAAGAGCCTGTTCCCTGCTTCCCCGCC